CGAGTTGAGGAAGAAGATATGTGAGTCGAGTTTCGAATCGGGGTTTTCAAAATTTACTTCGGATAGGGTTTGTGGATCGAAAAAAGTCCGGGGACTTCGGAAAAAGCTTTGGCTTCCCCTTTCGGCTTCGGGCTTCAGTCCCTCTCTGGTATCACCATACTTATGTGCTGGTCTACACATAAATGATATCTCCTTCTTATTTATCATTTAAATCCTCAAGATATTTACTCAAAATTAAAATTAAAAATTTACCCCATTTGTTGATTTTCTCAAAAATTTTCTAACATTACAAGACAAATTATTTCAAAAAAAATTTTTCCTTAAAAGTCTGACGGCCATTTAGATCATTAAATTAAAAATTTTTCTCGTTAAAATATTTTTTATTAAACAAAAATCTTTATTAAAAATATATCATTCATAAAATGAACTAAAATAATACCTTCTTGACATTTTTTAAATCCTTCAAAAATCCCTTAAAAATATTTTTCCACACCTTTATTCTTGCATAAAATATACTCATTTATTTGACTTTAAAAATTTATATTTCTTTTTTATTTTCCGGAAATTGAGAGAGAATATTTTTTAATATTCTTTAATGTAAAAAAGATGTAAAAAATGTACTAATATTTTTATTTTTAATAATTCAAAGATTATCAGAAAGCTTATTCCAAATAAATATTTAAAAAGAGTCAGAACTTCGTCATTGACTTTATAATTTTAATTTCTTTTTAATACGAGAGAGTATATTCTTTACTTCTAATATTCGGAAATTACTGTAGTGATAGGACCGAGAACAAGGACCCTATTTCAATTGTCCGGAGATTCTGCGGTTTGTGATCTGTGCAAAGAATGCAGAATCTGAGGACAATTGAAATAGGAACGTGACCAGATGATCATCATTTTTGTCATTTTCTCTACTCAAGTTCTACTATTAGCCAAATTTAATTCCTTATACAGTCCCTAGAAAATTAGCCCTTCTCTGATATTAGTTCACTTACTAGCCTGCCCCTCAGGGAATGTAGAAATTAGGGATGGGTTGCGTTACCCGAAACCAGAAGTCATCTAGACCAAAATCCGAAACCTTTTCTTATTAGATCAATCTCTGGTGGGAAACCTAGCTCCTGAGACTCCTGGGTAGATCTGTTGGTTTTTGAGAATCTTCGGATATCCGTAACCGATTCGAAGAACCGACCTGACAACCCTGCTCTTGATTCCTGACTATAAATTTTTTTGGTTCTTCGATTTTGTGTCTTAAGATACTTTCTTAGTCTCAAATCTTAGAAAATTTCCTGTCTCGCTATACACGCATTAAACCCTAAAAAATAATTAATCTTTTAAATCCCTAATTTTTTATTTAACAAATTTTTAACTATAAAATCTAGGCATTTTATTCTAAAAATATTAACTTTAAATTTTAATTATTAAAAATTTTTTTCTCATTTTCACGTATTTTTAACTAAATCCACTTTTTATTTTAAGTATCTTTACATCATCTATTCTTATACTTTGATTTTAATTTATAAAATATTTTTTAATTCATCCATTTTTGAAGCCCTAAATTAAAAAAAAATTTTTTTCAAATTAGTTTTTTGCCTTTCCCATCATTTCCAATTCAAACAATGACTAGATTAATGACTAAAAAAATAATAAATTTATTTTTTTTGGATTAAGCAGCCATTTAATAAAAAAACTTTTCTCGTCATTTAATTTTTTTCATAAAAATCACCCAAAGATTATTGAGGAAATAAAACAATGAAGCCGTTTATTAAACAAATCTAAATATATATTTACTGTAGTTATATTAAATATTTAGTTGTCCTCTCAATTGAACTTGTTATTCTTGTTTTGGCCTCTTTATTCGGTGACCTAACTTGGATTCCTGGGTACCAGGGTGGTCATTTCCAAATCGCCAAAAGAGAACATGGCCTATCAAAAAGGGGGCAAAAAGGGGGCTAGATCGGACAAAAATGGGACAAATGCCACCTAAGTGGGGTAAAATGGCCACCCTGCTAGGTACAGGAAGCTTAAAAATGTCTGGGCTCTGGTTAACCCCTTAGAATAACCCACCTGGGTTAGTCGAACTACTTGCGGATTAATAACTGATAAGTGTGTACTTTAATTATTTTTAAGTATCTTCCTAAGACACATCCCTCGAGACTGAATTTTAAGGAGAAAACATTGCGCAATATTTCTCTTCTTTTTGCCCACTATCATTTTCTGGCGTAAGACGCAAGACACCTTTTATGTAATCCTAGCATTATGGAGATGGGCTATCGAAGTTTGATTGTTTGCAGTTAATCACAAAACCATAGGGCACTCGTAAACTAATATATAGGTAGGTTCCCTGTTAACATAGGCATATAAACAGATCCCTTCTTTAACCCTTTCTCAAACCTCCATCATCACCACTAAGGTTGTCGGTTAGTTGGAAATCTGCGGATATCCGTTCCGGTATCCGAACCGAAAATTTCCGGATATCTGGTCTTTCTTAGGATCCGGATCCGTCACCCTTATTCTTCACTACAACATCCCTCCTTTATTTTGTTTTCTTTATCACTTACTTAAATTCAAAAATATTTTAAAAACATCTTTTTTTAAATTCAACCATCTTTTAATGCATCAAACGGAAACATTTCTTTACCTATTTATTAATCCTTTTATTTTTAAAATTTTTTAATTTTTAATATTTTCGAAGAAGCTTCTTTTAAATTTTAATTACTGAAAAAAATTACTTTTGACGCAGAAATTTTTTATTCTGTCCCTTTAACATTTGACGCTTTAGCCTTTTATTAAATAAATTTTTTTTATGTTTTTTTATAAAGAAACCCTTTATTAATTTTCAAAAAAAATTTTTTTTCTTTAATCTAACAATTTATTTTTATTTTTTTTTGGTTTTATTTTAATTATTTTTAAAAAAAATTTTTTAAATGATTTATTCATTTAAAGATTAAATTTTATTAAATTTAAATTTTTAATGCCTAGAAGGATTGTTTTTTTAATTAAATATTATTTAAATAACAAAAATATTTTTATCCTGTTTTTTAATAGGATTATCTGTTTTACATTTCTATTAAGCTAGGATAGGCGAGAACTCGTTTAACTATTTCATTTTTGAAATGCCTTGGTTTGAAATCCAAAATCGTTCTAAATATCAATCTTGCTTAGGTTGGGGGACCGAATCGGTTTGAAAGATCTAATAGGACATCGAATTTTGGCCCGAGAAATACTTGAACTGCTTGGTTCCATAAAATTGAGGGCCAAAAAAGAGACCCGAACGTTCCAAAAGAACCCCTGGAACGCCCTCCTTTTTACCAGTTCCGAAAAAAGACTTGAACGTTGACCCGATTTGATAAAATTGAGGTGAAAAAGACTCGAATTATGACCCGAAAAGGGACTTGAACGGCCCGAGTGGATAAAATTGAAACCCGAAAAAAAGAGTTGAACGTTGACCCAATTTAAAAACCCTAAGCCTAATCCCAATTTGTTTTCAAATAGAACTGAGCCGATTTTTGACCAGAAGGAAATTCCAGGTGTTCCAAGTCTCGAACACGATTTTCTTTGCTAATTTCGTTAGAAATTTCAGATTTTATTTTGATTATTGTACTTCGCGATAAAAAACATCTTCTTAAAATTACTACTCTTCCCTCATTCAATTTACTTTAAAAATTATATTTTCTAGTATTAATTTCCCTTAATTCCCTATATTAATTTAGTAATTTCTTGACATAAAAATGTCAAAAAATATTTTTTAATAATTTCTTTTTTTAATCTTTTATTAGAAATTCAGAGTTGAAAGTTAGTCTCTCCCTTCCCCCCCCCCTCTCTTCTTTCCCCTCTCTCTTTCTCCCCTTTTTTAATTCCTACTTTTAATTCCAGTCTTATTTCCATTCATTTTTAAAATAAAAATATTTTTAAAAAAATTATTTCCAGTCAGACCGAATGTGTGACCTTTTTTCTTCCTTTTTAATGCTACAAACAAATTCCTTTTAAATTTTTCTCTTCATTTTTTCAGCCACAATCTTTTTTTTTCTTCCTGTCTAGAATATTATATTTATTTATTTATTTATTATTTAAATTTCCGTAAAAGTACTCCTTTTTAATTTATAGTCTAGAGAATATTTTTGAAAAATAAAACTTTTTTTTAAAATTATTTATCAGTCGAATCCTTAGTCTTTTATTTGTTATGTCCACACTGGGAAAATGAATCAAAACCCGAAGATTTTCGGTTCGGTCTGTTGGTTCGCTTTCGTTTAACTGAAAATTTCGTTTCGGTTTTCTGTTTGGTTTCGGTTAACCAAAGAATTTTGTGAAGCAAACAGTCCTACTTATCACTCTAGACAACCTACATAGACAAAATATAATTAATGAACTTTTCATTAAAATTTTAGACGAAGACCTTTAATTTATTTTTAAAAATAACCTTTTAACTCCCAATAATAATATTTTTTTTTATTTTTTAAATGTTTTCAAGAAAATTACAAAAATATTATTTTAATGTCAAGATATTAAAAATATTATTTTTATTTAATATTAAGGCGAGGAGAAATTAACTTCTTTGAATTTGGATTCGAGAAGGGCCTGGGACGACCAGAATACCTAACTTTGTTCGGAAAATTTTTATTTGACCATCATGCGTCTTTTTCATTTTAAGAGAAAATAAAAAAGAAAGAAAGGGGAGAAAAGGCCTGGAACTGGATTGCAAATATAATAGTTCTTCGATAATAGTTTTTTTGACCAGAAACCCCTAATTTATACAAAAATTCAATTTGACCATTATGCGTCTTTTTAATTTCTTGGGGAAAATAAAAAAGGAAAGTAAGGAGAAAAGAGGATAATAGGGGCGGATAATAGAAAAGCATCTTAATTTTTAAAATAAAATTTTAATTATTAAAATATTTTTAACATTCCCCAAACATTCCTAATCGTTAAAAATTGCCGCGGAATTTTTTTTTAATTTTTTCCTTAAAATTTTTTTAAGGAAAAAATTAAAATTAATTTAATTTTTTCAGTTCAAATAATTTAATAATTAATTTAAAATGTTTAATATAAATATTACATTAATTGCAACAATTTTAATTTATTCCCTAACCTTATTAATTGGATTATTTGGAAATTGTTGGGTTGTAGCTTCCGTTATGAGAACAACAAAAAAGGGTGTTGGGGGAATTGGGGGATCTCATCATAGTGGAATGCCTAGTGTTAGTCCTTCTGATAGATTAAGGTAATAATTTTTTGAAGAAAAATTTTTTTGAAATTTTTGAAAAAATTTTTGAAAAATTAAAAAAAAATTTTTTTGAACCCACAAAAATTTTTTAATTTTTTAGAAAATATATTTGGTTATTGGCACTTCTTGATTTATTAGTTAGTGGCTCTTTGTCTATGCGTGTTTGGAGTTTAATTTTTCCAAAACAAATTTTTTGTAAGTCTAAACATTTTAATTTTAAAGATTCTTGTTTAAAAATGAGGCTCCTATATATTTTTTTCAAAGCCTAGGTTATATTAATACGCCAGAAGTTCGACCCAAAAAAATTAAACCCAGCTCTGATTTAACTAAATTTTTAAGTTCATCTCTCATCTATCATTTATCGGACAGTCTTTTAAGGGGGGGGGGAATTATGGGAGTCCACTTTTCAAATTAATTCTTGAATTCTAAGATTTTCAAATATTTTTTAGCTAATCATTGGTGTCAATTTAATTTTGCTATTGACCATATATTCAAACTTTGCTCAATTACTTGTTTGGCCTGTATTAGCATTGAACGATTTATTACTATACGAAAACCTTTTAATAATAAAGTAAATTTTTAATTTATTGGAAAACGAAGGTGAAGAGCATATCTAATTCCTCAAATCTCTAGGACCGAAAATTTTCCGAGACTCTGGATCAAGCTTTTATACCAAAACTTAAATCTAAGAACGTCTTCAAGAACGTTTTGAGGTACACCTTACCAAGCCACGAACACCGTTCATTTCTAAGAGGGCCCCTTCTTCTCCCAAATCCTTTACTCAATTGAGCTTGGAATAGGCGCTGGATATCCTGACTGGGTAAACTCCTACCTACCACAAGTCCATTCTATTTTAGAGTCTCGGATCCTGTTAACTTCCCAGATGTCCGTATCTACCAACCTATCTTAGGGCGTAAACCACTAAAAGCGATTTTGGTGTAAGTGGGGTCATATCTCTTTGTCTTGATAATAAAATCGACAAGATAAAGGGAGGCATACTTAAAAGATGAGACTTTGGAGGATTGAATAAGGGCTGGAATTGAAAGGATATACCTAATAAGCCTTCTCTTTTTTTACATTCTTTCCTAATAAAATTAATTCAACTATAAATATTCATTTTAAAGGTTCGTCGTTTAGCTGTTCAACTAACCCCTCTATGTGCCCTTTTATCAATCGGAACATGTGGTGCCTCTATTTTATGGCTATCTTTATATTCTGTTAAAGCAACCGAAAACGGTCTAAATTGCACAATAAAAAATTCCCCTCTTTTGGGAAATTGGTTAGCAACGAGTATTTTGGCTGTTGGTTTTAGTATTCAATTAATTTTAATTGCTACTAATTATGTTAGAATAATTCATCATGTTAGAAGAAAATTTTGGCAAAGAAAAGCTAGAGGTACTTTTTGTGATATAATTGCACTCGGCCATTTTCTTGCCTATACATCGGAGTAACTCTTGAGAGTTTTAGCAAGACTTCTATTAAGGTTCAGACTTCCATTAAGGGTCAGACTTCTACTAAACCTTTAGCTAAGGGTGTCTAGTCGACATGAAAAATAATTACCTGATTTCAAGAATAATGATTTCCAACACAAAAAACGTGGGAATTTCTGATTTCATAGTATCGGATCGGCAAGATCCATGCTGTTTATTAACGGGAGAACCAAGTCCACCTGCTGTTTATCAACCCTTTCTGTTTATCAACAGTAAAATAAAGTCCGTATCAACTTGCGTACTGTATATTATTTTTGCGGACATCTATGATTTTAAGCTTGTACACAATTACAACTAAGAAATGGACCGAGACCCGATCTCGAACAAAAATCTAGGTTATCAAGAGGCGAGAGATTGTTCAGGAAATCAATCTCGATTCTCGTTTACCCCCTAGTCCGGCAATTTATTTTTCTAAAATTTTTTTATTTTAAAGCCGTTGCCAATTCCTTCTCCAACGTTACTACAAAATCGTTAGGCCAATCAATGTCCGTTGATAGCCGTCGAATAGCTTGTGGAACAGCTAAACTATTAACTTCAAATTCCTCATATAGCAACGGAAGTTCTACTAACAGTACAGCAACAACAACGACAAGTAAGAAGAAACGTCCAAATTTACAACAAATAGCTTCTACCCAACAACAAAATAATTTATTTATAGCAACAGTTCCAGAACCTAAATATATGAGGGAAATGACTACGGCAATAATGAGGGTTGCCGCTTTTCATTTAATTTGTTGGCTACCGTTTTGTTTGATTCAACTAATTCCAACACAGTTATTTGAATCTGGTGAATATTTAATGAAAATTAGAAAAAAAATTTTTTTTTAATTTTTTGAAAATTTTTTGAAATTTTTGAAAAAATTTTTTTAGAAAATTTTTTGAAATTTTTTTTTGAAAATTTTTCTGAAAATTTTTTGAAAATTTTTTGAAATTTTTGAAAAAATTTTTTTAGAAAATTTTTTGAAATTTTTTTGAAATTTTTGAAAAATTTTTTTTTGAAAATTTTTCTGAAAATTTTTTGAAATTTCAAAAAAAAATTTCAAAAAAATTTTCTTAAAATTTTCAAAGGCCTAGAAATTTTTTTTTAATTAAAAATTTTATTCTAGTTCTCCCAAATTTTGGTTTCGACACTCTCAAGTGGAGAACAACCTTTTCTCTTCGTATTTTTGGTCCAATTGAGGATAACGAGAATAGCCTATCTTTGGAACAAAAAACTTCTGCTTGGCTGGCATTTGGGGCCAATTGGTTATCTTATGCAAATTCTGCTGGGAATTGGGTTTTATATGCAGCATTGAATAGAGATTTGCGGTCTATAATTAAGTGAGTAAATTTTTCTTTGCGGATTGACATTTGCGGACAAATTTGAAGCTAATTGGGGTTGGAACAGACTGGCATTTTGGTATGTGCAGTACCATAGCCTAAGTGTTTGTAGAAGTATTTAACGGCATATTACAGTTTTTCCTCCAATTGACAGTCGTCTCTATTTGAACGGCGGCCTCCAATAGAGCGGCCCTCCAGAGGATTGAAAAATAGAGCGGGAGCCGCTCAATTAGAGGAAATATGGAATTTTTTTAAAAACGATAGGGTCTCGTTTATGTGACTGATAGACTTTAATATTGAAAACTTATCCGCAAATGTCATTTCTGAACTTTCATTTTAATAAAAAATTTTTTTCAAAAATTTTTTAAAAATTTTCAGAGCCTGTTCAGAACGTCGTCAAAAACGCAATACAATCCCCCCACAACAAATCCAACAACAAAATTCCCAAGCACCCCATTCCTCGGGTTGTGGAAGTATTCGAATTAAATGTAATTCTGGAAGGTGTAATAGAAACAATTTAAATAATATTAGTGGAGGAGGAAGGAAGGGAGCTTTTCAAGTTTTTCGCTTCTTTTATTCTCTGAATTCACATCGATCTTCAGCTTCGGTAATTTTCAATAAAAAATTTTATGAAAAATTAGCGGTACTGTAACGACTAGGTGTTCTCTTTTTGTCGCGGACTCACCTAAAAATAAAAAATTTTTTGTCCGCAAATGTTGTCCGCAAATTTTTGCGGTCAAAAATTTGTCCGCAAAAATTTTTTTTTGTTCGCAACGACATAATCCCACTTTTTCAATTTTCCTAATTTTAAAACTTCAAAAATATTTAAACAAATAAAATAAAATTTTTTTCTCAGATTGAGGGCGATGGCAATTCAACAGCAACAATTTTGCCTGGTGCCCAAAATTGTTGTGTTTGTATATGCGGAAATAATGCTCAACAACATTTATTAAGCAATATTAACGAGAATAACACTAAAAATACATCAAATAATAAACAAATTTGTTCTCCAAAAAATAGCAATAGTCTATTACTTTTACGGGCGGGAACATCTTGTTCCGCTCTGACTATTTGTTGTGCTGAATGTAATTGTAATTGTGGAGGTGATAATTTTAAACAATGTTTTTTTTGAAAATTTAAAGAAGAAACATGGGGCTTTCTGAAGAAATAAATATTTAAAATTAGGAAGAAATAAAGGAAATTCCGCAATAATAAAAACTGTCCGCAAATTAAAAATATGTCCGCAAAAATTTAAAAAATGTCCGCAAAATATAAGCAGTCCGCAAAATACAAACAGTCCGCAATTTAAAAGTCCGCAAAAAGGAAAAATGTCCGCAAAAAAAAATCCGCGCAAAATTAAAAAATCCCCAAGATTAAATATGTCCACAAGACAAGTCCATAGAAATAAAAATGAAATTCTGCAAATTCTTTAAACAACATTCCTTCAACATTTTTTGCAGATTTTGGCGTTGTTTTGGCGTTATGGCGTTTGGCGTCTTTTAAGAATTTGAAAAATTGGGGTATGGCGCGCCACGCGAAAATTTTGGCGCACATCCCTGGCATCATGATTCACTCATGAAATCCATATAGGGATATCAGGCTTTTTTGAAAGAATCTAAAAAAGGCAGATAAATCCGCCTATAGGATAACCTCTAAAATTCGCAAAAAATTAAAAAATCCGCAAGATCAAACATGTAAAAATATTCACAAAAGATTTATATTTTATATAATCTATCCTAAAAATAATTTTTTTCAAGGCCCCACAATTCGAAAACATTCCGCCCAATCAGCTATCAGCAATCTATTTTTTGGCGGCGGGGAAAAAACCTCCATAACAACAACCCTTTCCTCCGCCTCCACATTAGCTACAACAGCTCGTCGTTCCCCACAAACAAATAATTTATCAACGGGGGAATTTGGATGGAGAGATGGTCGAGCCCATACTTTTTGTGCCCCAATAAGAGCTATCCCCTCAACAAATAATTTGTTAACAAATAAACCCCCAACAAAACTCCCAACAACCTCCCACCTACGTTTTGCCCAACAATTAATTGCTGCAACAGTACATGGGGTAGAGGAAAGGGAGAATCATGGGGCAATACCTCCAAATATTATAAAACAAGGAAGAAGAGAATCTGCAGCAGAAAAGAGAGAATTATTTGCACAAATGAGGGGAAATGTTAAAAACAATAATAACAACAGCAATTCTTTAATTAAAAATACCAACGTTTATTCTCCCCCATTACCCCCACCACCGCCTATAAGAATTGGGGGGCCGTCGTTTGAAGAAGAGGAAAATGATGGAAATTAATGATAAAAAAATAGAAATTTTTTTTTTAAATTTTTTTGAAAGACAAAAATCTCAATAAAGCCTTCTTTGTTTTACAGTCAATTCTAAATACTTTTCGTTCTTTCGAAAAAATTTTTTTCAAATTTTCTTTACCTTGTCCCCTTCAAGTTTCGAGAATTGACTATATTTTTTATTTTATTGTTGTATTTGGTAATTCTTGCGTTCGTACCCCCCTTTTTTTCCTCCCTCAGAGTATTAAAAAATGGTAAGTCAGTCTTAGTTTATAGAACTCGTCGAGCTGTGTCGAATGACACCAAAATCGACCCCCGGTCTTAACTTTGGGCCGAGATGCAGACAAAAAACCTGCGCAAAGCGAAAGGTTTTGCATAAGCGTCTCGCCCACAAAAGGATTACTTTATGTCATAACTTTGTCAAATCTTGTTCAATTACATTGATTTTGATGTCATTCGAATCAGCTCGATAAGCTCATTCGAATGAGCTATTATTTGTTTAATCGAATTTTTAGTCCAAAAAATGAGCTTGGTCCACCCTTTTATTTTTCAATTCTCGAGGGTCTGTCAATTTTCGAGGCCCAAAGTTAAGACAGAGTGTTGATTTTGGTGTCATACGACACAGCTCGACGAGTTCTATAACCCCATACGGACTGACCATTTTTTAATACTTTGAGTAAGGAAAAAAAAGGGGGGGGGTACGAACGCAAGAATTACCGTGTATTTTTTTGTTTTTTTATCAAACTACAATATTTATAAATGATTTACATTGTATTCAAAAATATTGAGTAAAAATCAAAAAAATTTTTGGCTTAAAACATTCGGATAAAAATTACTAAATTAATAAAGTACTAAAATTATGTTAAAATAAATTAACTTCCCCAATAAGGATTCGAACTTGGGGGAAAAACTTCGAACTAGAAAAAAGGCAATCTTTAGAGGTGTATATTTAATACCGATAT